CGCTAGCGTCATCCACGATGTTGGTATTGAACTGCGGCGGCGACGTTCGCGAGGTCCAGATCCATTACTCTTTACTAACTGAGAATTCAACTGGTCCATCCGTGCAACGTATACGTCAGCCCATCTGGTCGATGGCCTCCCCCGAATGTTTTGCTTCGCGAGGAATCCATTCCAGAGTTCATAGTGCCCATCTGTCGTCTGTTCTTCCCATTATATGACCAGCCCATCGATGCTTTGCCTTAGAGACGTATTCCTCTGGATCGCGAAGACGAGACATTGATCTCATAACTGAACTGCGAAATCCGACGAGATGTTGAGTGCGTCGGTTGTACTTCAAAAGACGTCATTCCAGCGTCCTATGGGTTGTTCGCAGTGCCTTCGACGTAGCCACAGTGTCAGGTCACCTCTCTGCGGCGTAACAGAGCGCAGGGAGAACGGTTGAATCGAACACGTGAGCTTGGAGCTCTGGTCAGTTGGTCTGTGGATTCCTCTAGGGGCCCAAAGGCTGCACAAGCTGCTCTTCGCCTCCTGTTTAGTTCTTCTTTCAAAGAGTTCTCCATGTTATCAAACGCCCGAGATATACGTAAAAAGACGTCCCGCGATTGGAGAGCCTTCTAATTCCATTTCCTGATCCTCGCAAAAAGCGTTCTTTATGAACAGAGTCTTTTTCCGATTCGCAGTCCTATCTGATTCCCACTTCGTTTAGTTCTTTCAACATCGTCTCCGCTTCAATGACATTCCTCACGAAGACTCGAGAGGAATCTCCCATTAACTTGTACACCTCTCTCATTACAATTCAGTGATTACATCACCCATTGCAACGCGGCAGTAAACAGCTTTGGCAACGCAGTGTCGCCTTGTCGAACCCCCTTGGAAATTGGTATGTTGAGAGAACAACGAAAAAGCTGTACTGTTGTAGAGCAGTTCTTGTACCACTCAGCCAATTTCCTCACGTAAGATGGGTCGACCCCTTGGTTGATGAGTGCTAACAGTATGGCATTAGTCTCGACGCTGTCAAACGCAGGACGAGAGGTAGGCTGTACTCTCGGCAAGCCTTGATAATCCTCGAAATTGTCTACATGCGATCCACGCGGAACCCTTGCGAAATCCATTGTTCTACAGGTTGGGCTTCATCCAGTGTCCTTGATATGCAAACGATTATCTAGTGAAGAGCTTGTGAAACACGCTCAGCAGGCATACGGACGGTGAATCCGAAGACCTTCCCTATCGCCCTTCTTATGAAGAAGGATTGTTTAGGAGGTACTTCACTGGTCGTGGATCCTTTCCTTCTGAAGTTGTGATAGATGTTCCGCAAGTATCTCGTATAGGCGATGTCCAAGAAGTCGGCCGGAACATGGTCCGATCCCGGAGCCGTGGCTGCCTGCATGGTCTGGATTGCGGCGCGTACTTAAGTGGGTAAAATTCGTAGTGGTATTTCTCCAGCGGGAATAAAG